TAGCCCATAATTCATAAGCTCAGTGTTAGGCTTAATACTGCAGTGAATATTTACAGTCAATTTACAGATCGAAAGAACCAAGTTAATCAGATAACAAAATCATAGGTAGGCTAAGCTATGTGCGCTCCCTCCCAGTCCCCGGGTACCAGCTCGAAAAGCTACCCTATTGTTTCAGTTTTTTAGGGCCAAGAAATGTTTCCTACCTAGGCTACAACAACACAATGTAATGAAGAATGTTAATGTTTTCAAGTGAGTACAGAACTCTAGTCTAACTGTAAACTGCAGTGAATAGCCTATGTCATTTGAATAACTGCTCAAAAGCCTGGCATTTTCAATGCATATTCATTTAGTAATAACTGCATCTAGCCTGCCTGATTGGGCAACCATTTGGATCAGTTATGGGTTTTTTCTCGGCAGTTTAGCCTACAAGGTCCAGGCTCATTAGCAGGCGGGTAATATGGTGTATTTTTTTCAGGATGTATCAGCTTACAGAAACATGCTAATGTAGGGATTTCTAGTGGTGCGCATATGAATTATGATAATGCGCGAGCGCGGAGGAAGTTGTATTCATAGTGTCCGCGTTTGGCTTCCGTGTTTTAAAAGCATTAGAAAATGAGGTGGATAGGTCGTTATCAATAAAACGTCACAATAAGGTGCAGAGTGTTAGATTTGCCTGCTGGGTGGCAAGGAGGCCCCCAGCTCTGCTAAAACCATTGACAACTGCATGCCGTTTTCAAGAGATTTTTAAATAAATGTTATAACTATTTGGTTGTAATATCATAACCTCTTGAAGAGCATAGTCAGAACTACACATTTCCGAGTATCCTATGCAAAGCAATTGTGCACATTTAGTGCTATCATCAGTTATACATCAAGTAACTGCATCCTTTATGATCAGTAAACATCAATTGATCATGTCATTTCACATATGTGAGGGTAGCCTCACGACCTTTCTCAATATTGGCCACCATTAATTGGATATTTCATTGCCTAGATATCAGAATGTTACCATGGTTACTCCATGATATCAATCTGAAAGAAGTCGCTGTAAAAAAGACGCAATAGTCTCTACAAGGCAGAATGTTGAATAAAATTATATTTATACTTACTTTACCGGTTGTACATGATGTTGGTTGTTTTGGCAGTAGGAGGTGGATATGGGGTATCCAAAGGAAAGTGTTGTTTACCTGACTTTTTGCGGCGCCGGTAGGTTCTGTCGCTTGCATTTTCAATCTGTTGACGCATTGCACGTGATGTACAATATGTAAACAATAGCCGAATGTAGTCGACCGAAGCACATTTCCTCGCAAACGATATACAGACCAGCATACTGAAGGTCGGGTTGATAACACTACTCTTTGGATATTTTGTCTAACATTCCTGCCTGCAAAAAGACAAACCACACGGACAACAGGTAAAGTATCATTTTATTCAGCATTCTGGCTTGTAGAGGTCGTGAGAGGAAACTTTCCTGATTCTCTGCAATTCAATGTCAGGTTTTCAGGCTAGATATTTGAGTGATATAAAATAAAAGTGTGCTATACCTAACAAGTATGAGTGGTTTAGATTAACTTCCCATCCTTTGTAGGCTCGGCCTGTCAAGCAGCAGAAGGACACATTTGCTGATGTAACATTACTGTTAGCTGATAATGTTTACTTTGCAAGCTGTCGGTACAAACTTTGTACAGTTGGCTAAACATAGTGGTAATCAGACCTAATGTACTTTTTTTTCTCCAACCAACGTAGGCCTACTAGTGAAGTTGGCTAACATTATCCCCTTTTCAACATTGTTTTTAAGAGTGTTTATTCACTGTTGCTGCGGACAGACATGATAGGCTACATTGATTGAAGGACCATGTCAGATTGGCTAGCTAATAACAGATCATGTCAATATGGCTAGTTAACAAGCGAACTTTCAGGGGATAAACTAAATTGCTATATTTTCTTGCCATCTATAGTGGTGATGACAGTAATCCGGATGACAACTATACCAGGATGAGGACTTGCAGATGTCACGCTCCTTCCAAAAGCCTAATCTCTGATGAAGCAAGCTAAATGACATGTTGTTTGCTTAGTTAGCTAGCTACATGCCAATTGGATAGGCTACCCTCATGTATCTGAAAATACATGATCAATTGATGTTTACATGAAAAGCATGCAGTTACTTGCTGTATAATTCTGATGATATAGCTAAATGTGGAATAATCAGAAATGTGTTGTTGTGACTACGCTCTTCAAGAGGTGATGATATTAAAACCAAACGTTTATTTAACAATCCCTTGAAAACGGCACATAGTTGTCAATGGTTTTAGCTCTCCTTGTTCCCCAGAAGCCAAATTGAACGCTCTGCACCGTTTTATTCCTAACGACCTATCGAAAATGAAGATGATGGGGTCTGTGGGCAGGTGTGATGTTGTTGTGCTTTTGTATGCTGTCATTTGTATGTGAATGTTTTGTATAATAAAACATAAAAAAGAGAGAGAATGATAGAGGCCTCTAGTGGCCAGAAGGCTGTTTTAGCATGGGCAAAGCCATTGAGCACTTTCACCATGCTTCCACATTTTTTCAGTAGTCAATTGGGTGGGGATTCCTATGGGTTGTAGCCTCAATGGCGCTTCACATGCTGTCACAGACGCTATAATGGAACAGATATAAAGATGAGTCCTCTATCTCTATGGTCTAACATTACCTGGTGTTTTAACATGTATTGTCTGTAGAGTGAATAACATGCTAGGTAGCCTACCGTTATATCGCTAACTTAGCACATGCTATAGTCAAAGACACTCAACTAACCCTTAGGTTTCCCATTTTATCTGTGCTATAGTCTACTAGCTAATGTTGTCAAATATTGATGCTCTCAGTTAGCTAGCTGTAGCATAATGTGATTTTCTAGTCTCTTTGCTAACTTCTGCCCTTAGCTGGTAATCAGCCTTAATGTGTTTGATGCTGTCTTAGCTGACTATCTTGCTATCATGCTTTCTCTTTTGGATCACAGGTGAACAGCCTCACTTCATAGGATATCCCAATTGTCAAGGAAGAGAGACATAGGACTTGCTACTATTGGCTCAACATCCGTGTTGCATGGGATAAGCAGCATCTGAACATGTGGACTGGTTTTGTGGAATTACAAAGTACTATTTTATTTTGCATTTTATTTGAGACTTTGTGATATTATGTGGACATACGTAATGCACTGACCTGCTTTAATCTCCTCTTCCTCTTTACAAGTCTTCCATATGTTTCTGAAAAATGCATCATGTACACACACATGATTGAAAGCTGTAGTTACTGTTAGCTAGCTAACTTTATTTTTGGCAACATGTGATCACACTAACATTTTTATTGTCTGATAAAAAATTAATAATAATTTTAATGGTATCAGGGCAGTACAAACCCCCAGCAAAATCACTGAATCCTTCCTAAAGGGTTCAGAGCAAATCCACCCCAATGTCTCCTTTGTAAAATTGGACGAGAATGTCATTGGATTTCCTTCAACATCTCTGAAGGACTCTTCATCATTCTGGGAACTGGAATTACATGTAAAAACATTTTGTAAATGACCCTATCTGCACGATACATGTGGGGAGCAGATTAACTGGATAAGAACTGATTGTGAGAAGGAAAACACTGGGATAATCTTGGGATTACAGCGCGGCAGACGCCTATGCTCAGTCCTCCATAGCTGGTTTGTAAGTGCAGACGAAGAATATCAAGGATCTGGAAGGATTGTGTATGGAGGAATTCTCTTAAGATCCCTCCCAATAATGTTCTGAAACTCATAAAACATTTTAGTAAAAGGCTCAGTGCCGTTATCCTCGCAAGGTGAGGTATTGAAAACAGGAGTGTCAATAATTGTTATTATTACTATGTATAATCATTTTAGCATACAATATAGCTCAGTATTTGAATTATTTATTTTATAGTCATTTTTGCTCATCTTTATCAAGGGTCTAATAATGTCGGACCCCACTGTAGGTCTCTAGTGAAAGGAACAAAATGCTGCTGGTTGTCTCTCGATTGTGACTGACGGCTTGGGATCTGACTAGACGGTCGTGTTGAGAATAATTCAAACACTGTCTGGCTTTTGAAATGCGATTGCAGATTTCCTTGTTTTCTCATGTTTTGGTTTTGAAGGGATCAAAACACCTCACAGTTGAAAGCAGTTAATGAATAATCATTTTTCTCACATAGAGGTCCCTTCTATGCTTTGGTCTCTTGTCACCATGCTTATGTTGCTCTGTGTGTGGCACAAAAACACAACACTTTTCACAGTCTAGAACATTGAGTTAATTAAATATCTATAACATAGTTGAACAAAGCATTGTTTTCCGATAGCAGGATGCATTTCCTATAGTAGAGACACATGCCCAGAGGAATATAAGCCTTGGCTATTTCTCACACACAGCATCTCAGGTTCATGTTTGAATTGTTGTAATTTTGTCAGCCAGTAGTAGCCTATTCTAGTATTTTACATTTCCATCCACAACTGTGTATTTGTAAGACTGCTAACTGATGACCAACCCTGAGATAACCTTTTGCTAACCTCCTGATGTGACGCTGTCATGGTCCTACCTATCTCCATCAGTCAGGCACTGAACTGATGAATTGCACTCTGCTGCATCAGCTCAGACTTCCATTGAACTCTGTTTCATGTTCCGCAAGGGTTGGATGACACTCTCCTGTCCACATGAATATTATCTCTGCTGTCTGCTACGCCTAATGGGAAGCGAAAGGGACTGGAGCAGGAAAAACTCCATTCTGTCACGTTGCATTGTATCGGTTGGTTAGTTAGTAGTGTGCCACTTGAAAGAGAATTCAGTTGAGAAATCATTGGGCCTAATGCCCATAAACACACTCATGATGCCTGGAGATGGCTCAGCTACTACACTCTCTCTCTAACACGCCACAGCGCCTCTTTCTCTCGCTCTCTTGCTCTCATTTAGGGGCTGGAAAAATGAGGTGTTGATGTCTTACCTACCTCACTGGAGACGGAAACCTAAATGGCGCAGCATGACTTCACTCCAGCCTGGCTTAATTTTCCCACAGCACCCTTATCAGCCCAGGTACCGTAGTGTTTGTGTGTAGCCTATGTCCAGTCCAATGTGTGTCTTGTCTCTCTGGCTGTGTGTATGTGCACAAGATATACTGCCTGCCCTCTTGTGTAGACACACATGTTGTCTTCTGTTCATTTCAGACACACGTATAAAACGTGATTGTTGTATGGAGTATTTGTCAGCCTGACAGTCTGTCTGTGTGTTAGCCCTCTCAGGTCTATGACAAGCCTTTCGAGTCTCCTGCCGAACGTCTGGACAGCCAAGGGGATGTGAGTCGCAAACGACACAACTCATCAGATGGCTCAGAGTCTGTCAACAGACACACTGAGGGTATGGAACTAACTAATGTCTGAAGTAGAACATATATTAATGTTGGCTAGAATTAACTAATCAAGAGCTGGTTTGACACCTTTATGTGCCTCTCAGTCAACCACCTACTTGTCTGGCTGTCTGTCCATCTCGCAGCCCATCTATTCTTTATCTACCTATCATACTTCCAGTATCTATCCATCCATGCGTTTGTCTCTGTGAGATAGAGGGACACTCTATACTCATTGGTAAAGCCAAATTGTCTGATTCACAGGAGGCTACTCCAGGAACGGATGGAGAGTCCGGAATGGCAGCGAGGGCTCGAGCTCATGCTCTCCCCTTCAGCAAGGCGGACCCCCGCCCCGCTCCAAGAGCAAAGGCCTGCCGGAGGACCAGCGAGGCCATAGGGACGACGGGGACAAACGCAAGCAGTTTGAAGCTGAAGACTTTGTGAGTGGTGTAGTAAGGCAGCCTAATGGGGTTGTGACTACCTTAGGCTTTTTTCTTACGACCCATCAAGTAGTCCTAAACAAAAACAATGTTTTAAAGTTATCACTAGGGCTGTTAAGGTGACCGTATTACCGCCACACCGGCGGTCATGAGTCATGACCACAGTCAAATTCTATGTGACCGTTTAGTCACGATAACTAGGCTTCTCCAAAACTGCGCTCTGATGCTGCTGATGGTCATTAGTAGCCTACCAAACTTGCTAATGGCCTGGTACTCAGCGATCTATTGTCTTTCTAATCACTCTGACATCAATGCAAGTACAATCGAAAATCAAATCAAACACTTCATGAGAGCCCATGAGCTTGTGTTGCGCAACATTTCTATAGGCTATGCAATTGCATGAGAAAACAGTTTTGATGGCCTCTAAGAGGATCCCATCAGCTTTTTCTATAGGCTTACTATATTTATTTCTCAACTTTCCAAATATTAAGCACATTGCTTTGCTTTACAACAGGAGTATTGCCTACCTGGCTGGCATGAAAATGAACCGTTGGAAAAGCGTCCTCCATTCGCTTTTTAAGTGCATAGATGACATGTACACTACATGACCAAAAACTCGTCGAACATATCATTCCAAAATCATGGGCATTAAGATAGAGTTGGTCCCTTTTTGCTGTTATAACAACCTCCACTCTTCTGGGAAGGCTTTCCACTAGATGTTGGGACTTGCTTCCATTCAGCTACAAGAGTATTAGTGAGGTTGGGCACTGCAGTAGGGCGATTAGGCCTGGTTCGCAGTCGGCGTTCCAATTCATCCCAAAGGTGTTCGATGGGGTTGAGGTCAGGGCTCTGTGCAGGCCAGTCAAGTTCTTCCACATTGATCTCGACAAACCAGTTCTGTATGGACCTTGCTTTGTGCACGGGGCATTGTCATGCTGAAACAGTAAAGGGCCTTCCCTAAACTGTTTTCACAATGTTGGAAGCACAGAATCGTCTAGAATGTCATTGTATGCTGTAGCGTTAAGATTTCCCTTCACTGGAACTAAGGGGCCCAGCCCGAACCATGAAAACAGCCCCAGACCATTATTCCTCCTCCACCAAACTTTACAGTTGGCACTATGCATTGGGGTAGGTAGCGTTCTCCTGGCATCCGCTAAACCTAGATTTGTATGTCGGACTGCCAGATGGTGAAGCTTGATTCATCACTCCAGAGAACGCGTTTCCACTGCTCCAGAGTCCAATGGTGGCAAGCTTTACACCACTCCAGCCGACGCATAGCATTGCGCATGGTGATCTTAGGCTTGTGTGCGGCTGCTCGGCCATGGAAACCCATTTCATGAAGCTCCTGACGAACAGTTCTTGTGCTGACGTTGCTTCCAGAGGCAGTTTGGAACAATGGTAGTGAGTGTTGCAACCGAGGACAGACAATTTTTTATGCGCTTCAGCACTCGGCGGTCCCGTTCTGTGAGCTTGTGTGGCCTACCACTTCGTGGCTGAGCCGTTGTTGCTCCTAGACGTTTCCACTTCACAATAACAGCACTTACAGTTGACCGGGGCAGCTCTAGCAGGGCAGAAATTTGACACACTGACTTGTTGGAAAGGTGGCATCCTATGACGGTGCCACATAGAAAGTCACTGAGCTCTTAGGAACGGGCCATTCTACTGCCTATGTTTGTCTATGGAGATTGCATGGCGTTGTGCTCAATATTATACACCTGTCAGCAACGGGTTTGACTGAAATAGCTGAATCCACTAATTTGAAGTGGTGTCCACATACTTCTGGCCATGTGTATAGCCTAATGTTTGTATCACAACTAAAGTTGCACAAATAACTATAAATTAAGCATATAGGAGGACCTGTTTCCTTGCTCAACACAGAATAACCGCATGTGCGCACTCCCTCTGAAATCTTTTGGAGAAAATATCCTTTCTATTTTATTCAGCAATGTTCAATTGTATTCTTCATACTATAAAATAATGCCACGGAATTCTAAGCAAATCTTGTCTGCTAAATGAACTGTGTAGCCCAAAGCCATGTGGCATAGCTAGATCAGGGCCTAACATAAGTACAACTCAGAATATGCTATTCTGTTCTTCTGAAATAGGCTACATTTTCTTCATATCATATTTCTTTAGACCTGTCTAAAATAAATAATGGATTTATTGTGATGGTGTAGGCTATATTAAATGGATTTATTAGACTTTTTTAAATGTAGATGTTCCTACGGTCTGCATCAGTGGCTTGTAGGCTATGCATTGAAGCCAGGAGATGCTAAATTTGTTTATGTTAATTAATGGTAAATTACTGTGAGACAGGCAGTTATTTGCAAGACAGTCACCGGCTGACAAAATTTCATGACCGCCACAGCCCTAGTTATCACCCAATCTGACTCAAATGGAATCAGCCTTGACCTATTGGTTTGGCATATGCTCACGCCATCCTCCCTTCAGGAAACACTCATCAGTCTTTCTTCCCCAAATGCCTCATCTTTAATATTATGTTAGTGTTTTTCAAAGATATAGATTGTGAATTTTATCTTATTCTTTCCAAACCCTTTGTTTTTGCCATGTCTCAGATGTATCCTACTCAACAACATGCTAGTGTACTAAGATGCATGCTGTTTTTCTTTCAGCCCTCACTCAATCCTAATGCAGAACGAGAGGTTAACCATAAAGCTGTTGCCACTGGAGTATGGGGTGAGCTACCAGTGTATTATCTCTCCATTCTCCAACTTGATTTGACTTTGATGCAGTTTTCTCCTTTAGTTGCCCTTTTTGGACCAAATAGTCTTAATACCTATTTAATTAATATATTATTATGAAAACTGTACCTTTAAAAAAAAAAAAGTACTTATAAGGCAAATTGAAAAGGTGTTCCATCTTTCATTCTGCTCTGTCTGTTCAGAACACCCGCCCAACCCTCAATCCAGGGGCTCTAAAATGATGGTGATCAAACGCGTCTCCAAGGAGGAGCCCACAACAGCAACGTCCTGCACGGCCACGCCCCAACAACAACAAGCCTTGTCCCGCAACGGCCCCTCCATCTACAAGGCCCCCATCCCAAACTCTGTCAGTCTTCCAGTTAAGGTGAGATTGTCAGGTCCCGGTTGCATAAAACATTTAAAGTCCCTTAAAGTCTCCTTAAAGGCCCATTGCAGTCAAATAAGGGATTTTCCTGTGTTTTATATATACATTTCCACACTGAGATTGAAATGGTACTATAAAATTATGATAATTCCCTTTTAGTGTAAGAGCTGTTTGAAAATATATTTCAGCCTGTTGTGGTGGGATGGAGTTTTGGCCTGCCTGTTGACAATGGACCATTAAGAGTTCCAAAACCTTTCTGCCAATAACGGCTATTTTTCAGTTTTCCCCTCCCCACTCAGACCACTCACAGACAGTCCTAGCAAAATTCTTGCTTGAGAAATTGATCTTAGCTAAGAAGCTATTTTAATTGAAAAAGATCACAGTAAGGTACTTAATTGTTACCCAGAAATGTTTTGATATTGAGATAAAAACATTCCTCACAAGACTGGTCCTTTGTAGCTCAATTGGTAGAGCATGACGCTTGTAATGCCAGGGTAGTGGGTTCGATCCCCGGGACCACACATACGTAAAAATGTACGCACACATGACTGTAAGTCGCTTTGGATAAAAGCGTCTGCTAAATGGCATATTATTATAAGACTCATGAAAAGCTAGCCCGGTACCAGTTTAAAAAAATGGAAGTATATATGCAGTGAGGGGAAAAAGGATTTGATCCCCTGCTGATTTTGTACATTTGCCCACTGACAAAGAAATGATCAGTCTATAATTTTAATGGTAGGTTTATTTGAACAGTGAGAGACAACAAAAGCAGGGGCAGGGGGACCTTGCGGGCGCTGCAGGATTTCAGTCCTTCACGGCGTAGTGTGTTACCAATTGTTTTCTTGGTGACTATGGTCCCAGCTGCCTTGAGATCATTGACAAGATCCTCCTGTGTTGTTCTGGGCTGATTCCTCACCGTTCTCATGATCATTGCAACTCCACAAGGTGAGATCTTGCATGGAGCCCCAGGCTGAGGGAGATTGACAGTTATTTTGTGTTTCTTCCATTTGCGAATAATCACACCAACTGTTGTCACCTTCTCACCAAGATGCTTGGCGATGGTCTGGTAACCCTTTTCCAGCCTTGTGTAGGTCTACAATCTTGTCCCTGACATCCTTGGAGAGCTCTTTGGTCTTGGCCATGGTGGAGAGTTTGGAATCTGATTGATTGATTGCTTCTGTGGACAGGTGTCTTTTATACAGGTAACAAGCTGAGATTAGGAGCACTCCCTTTAAGAGTGTGCTCCTAATCTCAGCTCGTTACCTGTATAAAAGACACCTGGGAGCCAGAAATCTTTCTGATTGAGAGGGGGTCAAATACTTATTTCCCTCATTAAAATGCAAATCAATTTATAAAAATGTTTACATGCGTTTTTCTGGATTTTCTGTTGTTATTCTGTCTCACTGTTCAAATAAACCTACCATTGAAATTATAGACTGATCATTTATTTGTCAGTGGGAAAATGTACAAAATCAGCAGGGGATCAAATACTTTTTTCCCTCACTGTACAGGCCCGTCTGAAGTTTGCCAATGAACATCTGAATGATTCAGAGGAGAACTGGGGCAAAGTGTTGTGGTCAGATGAGACCAAAATCGAGCTCTTTGGCATCAACTCAACTCGCCATGTTTGGAGGAGGAGGAATGCTGCCTATGACCCCAAGAACACCATCCCTACCGTCAAACATGGAGGTGGAAACATTATGCTTTGGGGGTGTTTTTCTGCTAAGGGGACAGGACAACTTCACCGCATCAAAGGGACGATGGACGGGGCCATGTACCGTCAAATCTTGGGTGAGAACCTCCTTCCCTCAGCCAGGGCATTGAAAATGGGTCGTGGATGGGTATTCCAGCATGACAATGACCCAAAACACACGGCCAAGGCAACAAAGGAGTTGCTCAAGAAGAAGCACATTAAGGTCCTGGAGTGGCCTAGCCAGTCTCCAGACCTTAATCCCATTGAAAATCTGTGGAGGGAGCTGAAGGTTTGAGTTGCCAAACGTCAGCCTTGAAACCTTAATGACTTGGAGAAGATCTGCAAAGAGGAGTGGGACAAAATCCCTCCTGAGATGTGTGCAAACCTGGTGGCCAACTACAAGAAACGTCTGACCTCTGTGATTGCCAACAAGTCATGTTTTGCAGAGGGGTCAAATACTTATTTCCCTCATTAAAATGCAAATCAATTTATATAACATTTTTGACATGCATTTTTCTGGATTTTGTTGTTGTTATTCTGTCTCTCACTGTTCAAATAAACCTACCATTAAAATTAGAAACTGATCATGTCTTTGTCAGTGGGCAAACGTATAAAATCAGCAGGGGATCAAATACTTTTTTCCCTCACCGTAGAAGTAGTTTACTGCAACGAAAAAAGTGTAGCACTTTTTTTTGTTTACTACATGATTCAATATGTGTTATCATAGTTTTGATGTCTAAACTATTATTCTACAATGTAGAAAATAGTAAAAATAAAGAAAAACCCTGAAATGAGTAGGTGTGTCCAAACTTCACTGATACTGTACTTCCATTCATTTTTTAAAGATGGTACCCAGCTACCTTCAGACTAGTTATGAGAGGCTTGTGGGCATCCTAGAGCAAAGCAATCGACATGTACGTGTTCTTGAGAGACTCACCTTCCCACAGATGGGTCATATTATTGTGTAGCCCAAACTGTTCAGACGCTACAGACAGAATTTGGCAGATCGGCTGTACCGACTTCAGACGAGTCCCGTACACCAACGTGTTCGTGGGAGTCTCATCTTTCCATAGAGGGCTTGATAGTTTGTACGCCAAACCATTCAGACACTGACTTTTTCCACATTTTGTTACGTTACAGCCTTATTCTAAAATTGATTAAATCGTTTTTATCTCATAAATCTACACACAATAGCCCATAATGACGGAGCTCTATGGACAATTCCTTTGACCTCATGGGTTGGTTTTTGCTCTGACATGCGCTGTCAACTGTGGAACCTTTTATATAGACAGGTGTGTGCCTTTCCAAATTATGTCCAATCAATTTAATTTACTGCAGGTGGACTCATATCAAGTTGTAGAAACATCTCAAGGATCATCAATGGAAACAGGATGCACCTGAGCTCACTTTCGAGTCTCATAGTAAAGGATTTGATTACTTATGTAAATAAGGTATTTCTGTTTTCATTTTTTTATGCATTTGCAAACATTTCTAAAAACCTTTTTTCTCTTTTGTCATTATGGGGTATTGTGTGTAGATTGAGTAAATTTGTTTATTTAATCCATTTTATAATAAGGCTGTAAGTGAACAAAATGTGGAAAAAGTCAAGGTCTGAATACTTGCTTTCTGCTGCTAGCTAGCTGCTGCTGTTGCGCAGCAACCAAGTTACTGGTCCCTGTTTTAGAACTCTGAGATTCAGCTGAAAAGATGTTAGCATTGTCAGAAATGCTACAAAAAGTTAGCACATCGTTGGTTCTTAGTGGACAGAAATCAGCACGTGAGAGCTAAAACATTTTATAAAAACTGTTGCATCTACAAACTAAGTAAATCAGATTTTTCTTTTAATCCAATGTTCACTTTAGAATTTGAAAATAGGTAGGCGCAGAAAATACTCAAACTCAATTGCTAACGCCCTGGTAAAAAACCTGGTATGTGGTTCTCTGTATCGGCCGGACAGCTCATGACGAGAGGTGTGCTGTGTATTTCCAATCAAGGTGATTTGCGAATTTTCATCAACATTGGTGTCATATTGGCTTAGATATGATGATAGGGAGATTTGAATGTAACATTGAGCTTCAACAAATGCATATATTTTTGTGGGGAATAGCCCACACAATAATTGATTGACTAATTGCTGTTTTCTAGGCGAGTCGCTCCAGCTCATCGTCCCCAGTGAACAAGGGCAGTCAGCCGCGGCTCATGATGCGTCTGACACGCATGCGCTTGGACCGCAAGAGCCACTTCCTCAAAGCCCTCAAACAGGACATGGTGGACGAGGAGGACCTCCATCATAACTGCAAGGTGTGTGCGTGCCTGCGTGCACGTCATGCACAGAGAAACTCTACTTTTCCTCATCAACAAATGTACAGAGAAAAAGGTTTAAAGGTGTATGTATCAGACCAACTTAACTGACATCACTTTGAATGGCTAGCATACAAATAATTAGTTTTTGTAACAGTTACCCTTAGACTGCGATCATAACGCCGTCTTTGATGCCTTATGCATCTGTATGACAACCGACTCAGTCATCCACCCATAATTGTATCATTTTGAAATGGTTATGTCAATGAAAAGTCAGGCTCAACATTGTACTCTTGTCTGTGACAGGTAAAAAAAAATGTTGGACAAGTAGAATATAGATTTAAATTGTCCGAATGGACAAGTAAAAATTGTCACTATCAAACAATTACTCCGATCACAAGTGTATCAAAGTGTCCTCTGCATGCGACATGTTGTGCGCTGTTCTCCCAATTTCTGCAGAGTGCATCGGAGTAGAATTGTTAGGGGCTATTGTATTGACAGGCACCGCTTTTGCCAGTGTAAAAATATTGTAATAATTATATTCTGTAGTCCAGTGGTCACCAACCGGTCGCTCTTCAAGGCATTCCTAGTTGATCACCAAACATTTCTGTAGAAAAGCCAATGAAAAAGGCTTGCGTTCCTTTCTTTTTTTTTTTTTTTTGGCGCTGTTGGCGGTAGGTGCACTTGATTCAGAAGCCCTGCGCACTGGACTTCTGTTCCCATTTTGGGATCTGTGGCTAAATCAAGTGTGCCTACTGCGCTGGCCGATCGGATAGCTCAAATCACTGTGCCAACAGCTTCCTCGGCCACAGCAAAGTTTGATACGTGAGATTTCATCACTTTTAAAAACATGACCAGAGAGAGGCTGTCAAAGAATACAGCAAAGAGCTGCTGTTTTTATGAGTGAGTTCATGTCTAAGTTTTTATTCAGCACTGTCAGCACAAATTACTAAACATAAAACGCGCTTCCACTTGTCCTGCAGCTGCAATAAATGAGTAGCCAAGTGTATCGATAGCCCTGCGTTTTTATTATTACTAGCAGCTCGTCGTGTCTATTTTAATATCGAGGAATATTTCACTTTCTCAGGTCATAGGAACAACATGAATCTGTGCATGAGGCAGATGCGGTGCGACTCCAGTTTCGCTATTAGGTGGAAGACTGGGTCCACTCTCTCTGGTCAGTCTCACCTGAGGAAAGTGTTGTGGTAATTATTCTAATCAAAGGAGAGAGACTTTGTTATTTCTTCAAACAATCATTCTTTAATATTGATGATTTAATGATTGCAATAATGAAGCTGGCCGATCTCACACTGAAGTGTGATGCTGAGAGCTCCACGAGCAGATTCGGGTTACACCTTTTATAGCAAAGTACATCCTCCTCAATGTTCATGACAAACAACAGATGCGTGGAATGGGTCAAAAGGTTAGGATTTGTATGAAAGCAATGAATAATTCACAGCAGACAGTATCTGCTGTGAAGACTGTTCTCATTGTATGGAAACCAGGGTTTGGCCCTCAAGACGAGGTTCTTATCTTATTCATAACAGATCTCGTCCTTGATACCTTATACACACAGACACCAATCCAGTCTATGAAATGCAGGCTCAGTCAGACCGGAGACATCTCCCTCTCACAGACCACTAATCATAGAATGCAATGTGGCTGTTGGTTTTATCACCTAGCCATCACTTAATCAGTTGCCAGCCCAAGCTTCAGAGGCTCCTCTCAGTTCACACAAATACAGATGAGCGAGTTCTAACAACCCTATTCTATTGCATAAAACAACCATTCGATGCATAAACAGTATTATAACAATTTTGTAATTTCTCCACCACAATCCCCATTTTGAGACTTCTCAACTTAAAAGAAAATTACAAGGTTTAAAATACATTAATACACGTATTCAAACCTTATAAGGCAGCAGGTCACACCACACACACACACGTGAATAGGGTGAGTGCTCTGCAATACTGAGGCTGGTCGACCCCACACTATTGCACTAGTGAACTCAGCAAAAAAAGAAACATCCTCTCACTGTCAACTTTGTTTATTTTCAGCAAACTTAACGTGTAAATATTCTGGGACATTTCTGGGGGGAATGGCCCTAGCCCTCACATTCCAATCCAACAGGTCCCAGACGTGCTGAATGGGATTGAGATCCGGGCTCTTCGCTGGCCATGGCAGAACACTGACATTCCTGTCTTGCAGGAAATAACAAGCAGTATGGCTGGTGGCATTGTCATGCTGGAGGTTCATGTCAGGATGAGCCTGCAGGAAGGGTACCACATGAGGGAGGAGGATGTCTTCCCTGTAATGCACAGCGTTGAGATTGCCTTCAATGACAACAAGCTCAGTCCGATGATGCTGTGACACACCGCCCCAGACCATGACGGACCCTCCACCTCCAAATCGATCCCGCTCCAGAGTACAGGCCTCGGTTTAATGCTCATTCCTTCGACGATAAACGTGAATCCGACCATCACCCCTGGTGAGACAAAACCGCGACTCGTCAGTAAAGAGCACTTTTTGCCAGTTCTGTCTTGTCCAGTGACGGTGGGTTTTTGCCCTTAGGCGACGTTGTTGCCGGTGATGTCTGATGAGGACCTGCCTTACAACAGGCCTACAAGCCCTCAGTCCAGCTTCTCTCAGCCTATTGCGGACAGTCTGAGCACTGATGGAGGGATTGTGCGTTCCTGGTGTAACTCAGGCAGTTGTTGTTGCCATCCTGTACCTGTCCCGCAGGTGTGATGTTCGGATGTACCGATCCTGTGCAGGTGTTGTTACACGTGGTCTGCCACTGCGAGGACAATCAGCTGTCCGTCCTGTCTCCCTGTAGCGCTGTCTTAGGCGTCTCACAATATGGACATTGCAATGTATTGCCCTGGCCATATCTGCAGTCCTCATGCCTCCTTGCACCATGCCTAAGGCACATTCATGCAGATGAGCAGGGACCCTGGGCATCTTTCTTTTGGTGTTTTTCAGAGTCAGTAGAAAGGCCTCTTTTAGTGTCCTAGGTTTTCATAACTGTGACCTTAATTGCCTATCGTCTGTAAGCTGTTAGTGTCTTAACGACCGTTCCACAGGTGCATGTTCATTAATTGTTTATGGTTCATTAAACAAGCATGGGAAACAGTGTTTAAACCCTTTACAATGAAGATCTGTGAAGCTATTTGGATTTTTACGAATTATCTTTGAAAGACAGGGTCCTGAAAAAGGGACATTTTTTGTGTGTGATTTATATTACCATTATAAATGACCATCCGTTGGTTCATTGAGCTTTTTACCTTAACATAAAATTATCCTTAATTGGGAACGATATAAACATTAAAATATCGTTAAGAAATTCTCAGCAATGTAAATCATTTTTCATCAGTACGAAACACAATCATCATGTTGATACTGAGCACGCTCCCATTGGTCAGCATGGTGGAAATAACTATTTCCATCCCCATAACACCATCTGTAGAAACTAAAATGTGCGTATTTGTTGGACAAATCCAGGTAGTGACTCCCGGTTTAAGTAACATTTATTCTGTTTAGGGCCTAATGAAAATGACCCAGGACAAGCATCATGAATCCACTATAAGGCAACACCTATGGACTCTGTTTCATTAGCATAAACCTGCTATAGTTCCTGAGTATTATGATTAAAATAAAAAATGTAATTTGGTCATGTATATAGGTCAAATAGATTAGGATCAGTTTCACTCTCAGGATCAGAGTTCACCCTCTCCATTCACCAGGACATGCTGAGAATAGTGTCAATATCTTTAGTACACAACTTCTTTACCCGCGTCACAATAGCATAACAACAATCAAAACAATCAATCCATAACATATTAATTGCTTCACTCATATGATTATTAACAAACTAAAAACTTACTCAAATCAATTAGTCAGTTTTCAAAAAATCATTCAGTTTCCAAATCATAATCAAAACCCTATTTTAGTTATCCAAACCAAATGTAGAATGACAATGCCTAGTGATTCACATTGGTCCTGTCACTCAAAGTTAAAACCCTCAACTTAGCACACATCGACACTGAATGTACATTTATATTAACATAATTACAGATCAGAATCTTAATGCATTCTTAATCTAAATTACTGTAAGTTTAGCAGTGTGTAGTCCTCCACAATCAACCTGATACCCCAAAATAAACAATTTTAGACAAGCCTAAAGCAGTTATGGGCACAGTTGACCAACACCCTCCTTCCCCGGCACTCAATCTTCTGGTGTCTCTTCATTTTCTTCTTCAGATAGCATTGTAGTTCAAAGTGGATGGCCCATGATAAGTCCCAATTTCATTGTCTCACCTGGGCCGCCCACTACCTTTACCACCCATTACGTCTTGTCCATTTGCCAACCAGTATACCAGCAACATGAGAGAAGTTTGGAACTGATCTCTCGTCATGCTCACCACACGTGGACTCCTGTCGCACTCCTGAGAGAAAAGGTATGAGAGAGAAGGCAGTTGATAGCTTCGATTGGATGCTGTGTACAGGTTGCTGGCTCGGACTCAGGTCTCACGGTAGAAGTGGTGCAGGACCATACTGAACGGCATTTTCTTCAGCCGGTCAGAGGGGGTTTTGAGGTTCAGACCGTTTTTGGCCGAATGATCCCTTTTATGCATCTAGATACCATCTGTAGTCACCTTCACCATAACCTCGGGAGAGGACAGATCAGAACAACAGTTTAGTTCAGTTCATTTCTGATTCAGGGAATCCAGACAAGCATTGACTGTATGACAAATTATTACTTTTACCAATATTCTTAATACAAATTTCTAAGACAAGAATAACAACACGTTCTGTTGAAACTATTTTTTAAATTGGCTTGTACTCCGCTATCACACTGTTGACCTCACCGCAGAGTCACAGGATCAGGAAGTTAGACCGCTAATCCTTAGGGAGTAATCTCGATCATCCATCAGACCCAATCTGGTGAGATTTGTATCGAAACAGAACAAACAACACAACAATGCACTCCTTCATATATCACTCGATACACTTCTATATATCACTCAAGGTGTGTAAAACTTCAATCCAAAAACCTTCAGAGGACCAGTAACACCTCCATTTTGACACGACTCACATCGTGATTAAATAATAAATAAATAAAAATGAGTCACTAAATTAACACCACTAACATATATTCATAACAAGTGTGTTGTGTGTGGGTATTTGCAAAAACAAACAAAAATGGGCAGGCCTTATTTAATTTGGGCGCTCCCTTTACGGCAGAATACGGATACCTTTATACTTACAAAACTGCCGAATTTCACTAACTGCTCTCCCCAAGACCAGTCTCGGGAAACATTTCAAAGAGAGCGATAATGACTAACCCCTCTCCTGGAAGAGAAAGTGTACATTTCGTTAATATCCACTCTGCTACATCTTAATCAGCAACCCAAAAGTTGTAATTACAAACAAAACATGATAATGATTAGTCCACTGTACTCCCTCCAATCATTAATTGTTTGTTTTAATCCACCCCAATGTTTATGTAATCTTATTTAGACACAACGACATTTATCTGACTGGTCTCTCTTTTCCCCAAGATTTTCCGTATCCACCACACCACAATGCCCTTCATGTTCATGAACAAACATTTTAAAAGGTAATTTTAGGTTTGGTAGCCCCAATGCTGTTGCTTGACAGAATTGCTTCTTAAAAACTTGACTAACACTTACTCCCAATATTAACTCCAATCTAATTTCCCGTAAGGTAAAGTTAAAACACATCAGATGGTACAGCGTCCCGTTAAGCAGAACAAACACTTTCTAAAATAAACAAACCCAGAACCCCTTTCCAGAAATCGTATTATTGTAACCTGTTGCATTGATTTTGTAAAAATAGAAACCTATTAATTAACAAATCTAGAACCTTCAACAAGTTCGTGCTGTCTCATCAGCGTAATAGTCAAAACTAACTGTAATCCACATCAATTACTTTACACTGTTCCACGTAATGGAAACAGATTATCATTTTAGAATACATTAACTTGTTTGCTTTAATCACTGGTGTTACCCAAACTATAGAATTAAGTACTAATTATTAGAAATCGTCAAAGAACATCTCCGCATTCAACTTAGTCATACCACTACAACAAACTTAACCCACTTCGTCCTTTACAGCCTCATAGAGCCCAGCGAGCATGACTCGCTTTCACCAGCGGACTAAAACATGGAAACTCTTCTATTCTTTCCAGTATAAAAAATTTATAACATAAATCATTCTCAAACAACGTTCTGTGTTTACCTCTAACGTAAGGATTAAAAAAATTAAAAAATAACTTGACAACTTTCTCTACTCTTTCTGCTTCACACTCATGAAATGTCCATGAGTTTAAAATTAACATGTAATGCGCCAAGTTTATAAAATACATCAGTCAATCCATAAGGAAAAATATACATTTCGATGGGTGCTAAAATAGTTCACAATACTAGAGCCTCTTTCAGCCCACAACTTAAATTAATTGTATTATAGCCTTGTATTATCATGCAATAATTAATACCCATGTTTAGTTATTAATTATGATCATGGTCGCAGCTCTACCACAATTGCCTGTCCACTATTATTAGAATGCATTAGATATAGGTAATAGTCCCTTCTGAGTAGACAACAGGTAATAAAACAAACACTGACTATTGTCGACAAGCATACATTCAATATATATCCATAGTATTAATATTCAATGTAGTGATTTAAATTACGACCCCCATTCTCAGTAGTTTCCACCAGCAAACCATTAGGCAACACAAAAAATGATTACCTCGATATTGTCCAGCTATTCATGTTGAACAAATTAGCCTTTCAATTTGACCCAAGCAAGCAGCTAAATCGTTCAGTGGGGAGAGCAAGTATTTGATACACTGCCGATTTTGCAGGTTTTCCTACTTACAAAGCATGTAGAGGTCTGTAATTATTATCATAGGTACACTTCAACTGTGAGAGACGGAATCTAAAACAAAAATACAGAAAATCACATTGTATGATTTTTAAGTAATGAATTTGCATTTTATTGCATGACGTAAGTATTTGACACATTAGAAAAGCAGAACTTAATATTTGGTACAGAAACCTTTGTTTGCAATTACAGAGATCATACGTTTCCTGTAGGTCTTGATCAGGTTTGCACACACTGCAGCAGGGATTTTGGCCCACTCCTCCATACAGACCTTCTCCAGATCCTTCAGGTTTCGGGGCTGTCGCTGGGCAATACGGACTTTCAGCTCCCTCCAAAGATGTTCTATTGGGTTCAGGTCTGGAGACTGGATAGGCCTCTCCAGGACCTTGGGATGCTTCTTACGGAGCCACTCCTTAGTTGCCCTGGCTGTGTGTTTCGGGTCGTTGTCATGCTGGAAGACCCAGCCACGACCCATCTTCAATGCTCTTACTGAGGGAAGGAGGTTGTTGGCCAAGATCTCGCGATACATGGCCCCATCCATCCTCCCCTCAATACGGTGCAGTCGCCCTGTCCCCTTTGCAGAAAAGCATCCCCAAAGAATGATGTTTCCACCTCCATGCTTCACGGTTGGGATGGTGTTCTTGGGGTTGTACTCATCCTTCTTCTTCCTCCAAACACAGCGAGTGGAGTTTAGACCAAAAAGCTATATTCTTGTCTCATCAGACCACATGACCTTCTCCCATTCCTCCTCTGGATCATCTAGATGGTCATTGGCAAACTTCCGACGGGCCTGGACATGCGCTGGCTTGAGCAGGTGGACCTTGCGTGCACTGCAGGATTTTAATCCATGACGGCGTAGTGTGTTACTAATGGTTTTCTTTGAGACTGTGGTCCCAGCTCTCTTCAGGTCATTGACCAGGTCCTGCCGTGTAGTTCTGGGCTGATCCCTCACCTTCCTCATGATCATTGATGCCCCACGAGGTGAGATATTGCATGGAGCCCCAGACCGAGGGTGATTGACTGTCATCTTGAACTTCTTCCATTTTATAATAATTGCGCCAACAGTTGTTGCCTCCTCACCAAGCTGCTTGCCTATTGGCCTGTAGCCCATCCCAGCCTTGTGCAGGTCTACAATTTTATCCCTGATGTCTTTACACAGCTCTCTGGTCTTGGCCATTGTGGAGAGGTTGGAGTCTGTTTGATTGAGTGTGTGGACAGGTGTCTTTTATACAGGTAACGAGTTCAAACAGGTGCAGTTAATACAGGTAATGAGTGGAGAACAGGAGGGCTTCTTAAAGAAAAACTAACAGGTCTGTGAGAGCTGGAATTCTTACTGGTTGGTAGGTGATCAAATACTTATGTCATGCAATAAAATGCAAATTAATTACTTAAAAATCATACAATGTTATTTTCTGGATTTTTGTTTTAGATTCCGTCTCTCACAGTTGAAGTGTACCTATGATAAAAATTACTGACCTCTACATGCTTTGTAAGTAGGAAAACCTGCAAAATCGGCAGTGTATCAAATACTTGTTCTCCCCACTGTATATCTTAAAACAAACACTGGCTGCTAGATCTAAGCAAAACATACCAATAGTTGAATTACAATCAGAAACCCAGATTTTTGTCAGTAAGATAGACCCTATGCCTATTGAAATGACAAGTAAATCCAATTACAATGGTTTGTTGTCTTTACATCTGGAACATAATAATGACACCATTACCAGAAAACAGCCTTAAAGTTCGTCCAAGTGTTTCTTTGCAAAGACTAACACTTACTCAAAGGGAATACATTTGCAGTCAACGAGTTGAATCGACATTCATTGATTTGGAAACAGATCTGGAGAGTTTAATAAAAGCGGATTATCTTTTCCCCTGCGACATAATGAAATTCCTTTATTACACCACATGCGCTCTGCAATGATAATTATTTTGGAAACCCTAAGTTAGGCTTTGTACTACGTTATAAGTTACGTAGAGATTCCACCTTATTTCGCTGTAACTGTATGGAAAAGGGGTTTATTCGATAAATATATCAACTCCTCATACGGCGGAAAAAAACTAATTTCCAGGCCTTATGGGCAGTTTTGTGTTTTAATGTATTACCCGGGTGGAGAAAATCCCATAAGCATTTTATAGTTACATCGGTTAATTCCCCATACTTTACCAAAAGTGGACATACGCCAATCAGTTTTCTGAGACCATTTCCCAGATAATGCTCTAACCTTGTCTTTATCAAATGATCCATAAACGGACCACTCTGAACCTCTCAGAATACTTTGTACACCCCTTACGTACATCTACTTATGGGTGCACAAGTTGGTATATGAATATTATACGTGTCATTATTACTTCATCAAATCTGTAGGAATAGATTATACACATACAATTTGTCACGTTTTCATATATTCACAGAATCCATATAAAACGTTAGAAATCTTAGTTACTCACACCCACCACTCCATGTGCGTTGTCAATGACTCTCAATCAGAACCCAAAAACCTTGGTTTCCCGGATGCTGCCCGGCAGGTCATGGGATCCTCAACGGGTCTCAACATACCACGGCAAAGTGTAGCCTCCCAGAAGCTATAGACATGCCGCTACTGTCTAAAATAACGTCCCGCGCTCAATACCACCCTGTGATATTCAATGATGGGCAGTGATGGACGGAGCCCCAAGATAACTTATCTAAATTTAAATAAGATTGTTATACACGTTTCTATATCTTATTATCCAAACCACAGATTAAGACTTATTTCCACATTCACACAACTCTCATATCACATTCACACAATGCTATTCCCAAACACACTTAATCAATATTTGTATAACATGCAGGAATATTTTCTTCTATAACAGGGCCCAAATTTGGAATGTCAAATCTATTACATTAACATTTTACCATAACCAATTTTCCCATAATCATAAATCTCCTCTAAGGTTTCCAAATTTGGGAAACCTGCAGGGATCGGTCCCACCAAGATACAATAGCCGGACCATACCCTAAAAGACTGGCCGAAATACAATGTCTAGAAGTCAGATACACCGGTATGCGCGACCTGTTCCCCTCAATTGAAGATCGCCGACATTCCTAGGGTTCATAATAAGATACATTTTTATCTTTTCCAAACCTACTCCACGTCCCTCAGGAATACTTTAAAGACAATGAACACCCTTTTCTCCTAACTGCCCACTTCTTACCTAGGTAAATAAGAGACTATACTTCTCTTTTCAACCTAGGATAAGGGTAACACTTAGGTACGTGACATTTTTATTTTCTTGCCCACTCAACATTTTCACCTAAACTGCCCACTCAACATTAACAATGTTCAATTAGTACTATTAATTCTGTGCACTTTCAAGTTTAATTATTGAAAGAAATCAGTCTCACCCTTCATCTAATTCTGTTCGAAATGATGTATCCATTCAGCCGACGCTCCCAGCCAGGTGGGGATCCAATCAGCTCCATCTAGTGGAGTATGGCTTCCCCGGCTGCATCTAATGCAACTCCGGTGCACGGTTAACCTGGATATCCCCGGGAGCAATCAGCAAAATGAAGATTATCATTCCCTCCTCATCACCAAATTGTTGTGGTAATTATTCTAATCAAAGGAGAGAGACTTTGTTATTTCTTCAAACAATCATTCTTTAATATCTATTAATTATTGCAATAATTGGTATTGGTATTTTATTAGGATCCCCATTAGCTTTTGCAAAAGCAGCAGCAACTCTTCCTGGGGTCCACACAAAGCATGAAACATGACATAATACAAAACATTAAAAGACAAGAACAGCTCAAAGACAGAACTACATAAAACATTTTTTTAAAGGCACAAGTAGCCTACATATCAATACATACACACAAACTATCTAGGTAAAATAGGGGAGATCCCACACTCTGAAATGTAATGCCGAGAGCGCCACGAGCAGATTCGGGTTACACCTTTTATAGCAACGTACATCCTCCTGAATGTCCATGACAAACAACATATGTGTGGAATGGGTCAAAAGGTTAGGATTTGTATGAAAGCAATGAATAATTCACAGCAGACAGTATCTGCTGTGAAGACTGTTCTCATTGTATGGAAACCAGGGTTTGGCCCCCAAGACGAGGTTCTTATCAACTATTCATAACAGATCTTGTCCCTGATACCTTATACACACAGACACCAGTCCAGTCTATGAAATGCAGGCTCAGTCAGACCAGCGACATCTCCCGCTCACACACCACTAATCATAGAATGGAATGTGGCTGTTGGATTTATCACCTAGCCATCACTTAATCAGTTGCTAGCCCAAGCTTCAGAGGCTCCTCTCAGTTCACACAGACACAGATGAGAGAATTCTAACAACCCTATTCTATTGCATAAAACAACCATTCAATGCATAAACAGTATTATAACATAATCTTGTAATTTCTCCACCACAAAAGGAAGGAGAGCGCAGGGACCGTGAGAGGCAGACACTGCTGCTCTCTGCCTCCCTCTGCTGAGACTAATGCTGTGTAATTTCCGACTGTTCAAGACAACTGGGAACTCGGAAAAAACAAGATCCGACTGGGAAAAATAGTTTTGAACGATCATCCAATTCGGAATTCCAAGTAGGAAACTCTGGGGTCTTTCTAGACCTCTGACTTTCCGACCTGAAGATCACTGACGTCATGAATTGATCTTGTTTTTTCCCCCGAGTTCCCTGTTGACTTGAAAGCACCATGACCATCAAGTGCTACACCAACTGATCTATTTTGTCATTAAAGCTTGAAATATAATATAGTCTAATAATAACAATATTGGCAGGCCAAGCATATGATGTGATAATGTATTAGGCCTACTGCACAAACCTCTTTCCTACAGAACGGTTTTTATTAGGTTAATGTTACATTTTTAAAAAGTAATGTTTAAAAAAATTATCTGGGTGGTAGATCTCTGCCTACTTTTTGATTTTGAAATCTGAGTCAAGATCACTAAGGTTGGTGACCACTGCTGTAGTCTATATAATTGTTTAAAAAACAGAATAAATCCCAAAGCTAATAATGAACTAAAATATAAACTCAACATGCAACAATTTCAAAGATTTTACGGAGTTACAGATCATATAAGAAAATCAGTAAATTCAAATAAAATCATTAGGCCCTAATCTATGGATTTCACATGACTGGGAATACAGATATGCATCTGTTGCTCACAGATATCTTTTAAAAAAGGAGGGGCGTGGATCAGAAAACCAGTCGGTATATGGTGTGACCACCATTTGCCTCATGCAGCGCAACACATTTCCTTCACATAGAGTTGATCAGGCTGTTGATTGTGGCCTGTAGAATGTTGTCCCACTCCTCTTCAATGGCTGTGCGAAGTTGCTAGATATTGGTGGGAACTGGAACACGCTGTCGAATGCGTCGATCCAGAATATCCCAAACATGGTATTTGGTATTTTATTAGGATCCCTATTAGCTGTTGCAAAAGCAGCAGCTACTCTTCCTGGGGTCCACACAAAACATTAAACATGACATAATACAGAACATTAATAGACAAGAACAGCTCAAGGACAGAACTACATAAAAAACTTTTAAAGGCACACGTAGCCTACATAGCAATATATACACAAACTATCTATGTCAAATAGGGGAGAGGTGTTGTACCATGAGGTGTTGCTTTATCTGTTTTTTGAAACCAGGTTTGCTGTTTATTTGTGCAATATGAGATGAAATGGAGTACCATGCAATAATGGCTCTATATAATACTGAACGCTTTCTTGTATTTGTTCTGGATTCGGGGACTGTGAAAAGACCCCTGGTGGCATGTCTGGTGGGGTAAGTGTGTGTGTCAGAGCTTTGTGTAAGTTGACAATGCAAACAATTTGGGATTTTCAACACATTGTTTCTTATAAAAAGAAGAACAGATGCAGTCAGTATCTCCTCAACTCTTAGCATAGAAAGACTGGCATGCATAGTATTTATATCAGCCCTCTGATTACAATGAAGAGCAAGACGTGCTGCTCTGTTCTGTGCCAGCTGCAGCTTAACTAGGTCATTCCTTGCAGCACTCGACCACATGACTGGACAATAATCAATATAAGACAAAACTAGAGCCTGCAGGACTTGCTTTAAAAAAAATCAGAGCATCTCTTTATTACGGACAGACCTCTCCCCATCTTTACAACCATTGAATCAATATGTTTTGACCATGACAGTTTACAATCTAAGGTAACACCAAGTAATTTAGTGTCCTCAACTTGTTCAACAGCCACACCATTCATTACCAAATACAATGCTCTTAGTTTTAGAGATGTTCAGGACAAGTATATTACTGGCCACCCATTCCAAAACATACTCAGTGGGTGACATGTCTGGTGAGTATGCAGGCCATGGAAGAACTGGGAAATGTTCAGCTTCCAGGAATTGTGTACAGATCCTTGCTACATTGGGCTGTGCATTATCATGCTGAAAAATGAGGTGATGGTGGCGGATGAATGGCACGACAATGGGCCTCAGGATCTCGTCACGGTATCTCTGTGCATTCAAATTACCATCGATAAAATGCAATTGTGTTTGTTGTCCGTAGCTTATGCCTGCCCATACCATAACCCCACTGCCACCACGGGCCACTCGGTTCACAACGTTGACATCAGCAAACCGCTCGCCCACACAATGCCATCTGCCCGGTACAGTTAAAACCGGGATTCATTTGTGAAGAGCACACTTCTCCAGTGTGCCAGTGGCGCCGAACTGCAGTCAGGTCAAGACCCTGGTGAGGACGACAAGCACGCAGATGAGCTTCCCTGAGAAGTCTTCTGACTGTGCAGAAATCCTTTGGTTGTGCAAACTCACAGTTTCATCAGCTGTCCGGGTGGCTGGTCTCAGATGATCCCGCAGGTGAAGAATCCGGATGTGGAGGTCCTGGGCTGGCGTGGTTACACGTGGTCTGCGATTGTGAGGCCGGTTGGTCGTACTGCCAAATTCTCTAAAATGACGTTGGAGTCGGCTTATGGAAGAAAATTAACATTCAATTCTCTGGCAACAGCTCTGGTGGGCATTCCTACAGTCAGCATGCCAATTGCACGCTCCCTCAACTTGAGACATCTGTGGCATTATGTTGTGTGACAGAACTGCACATTTTAGAGTGGCCTTTTATTGTCCCCAGCACAAGGTGCACCTGTGTAATGATCATGCTGTTTAATCAGCTTCTTGATTATGCCACGCGTGTCAGGTGGATGGATTATCTTGGCGAAGGAGAAATGCTCACTAACAGGGATATAAACAAATTTGTGCCAAACGTTTAGAGAAATAAGCTTTTTGTGTATCTGGAAAATTTCTGGGATCTTTTATTTCAGCTCATGAAACATGGGACCAACACTACATGTTTAGTTTATATTTTTGTTCAGTTTATTAATCACACGCACTGGAAAAGACAGCCATCACAGTTTTGATGGCAATTATTGGAAAAAAGCGGGATCCCAGCCTTCCAGTGATGTTTGATTTATTTCTCAACTCCAGATATTGCACATTTGGCAGCGTTTTACAATCTGAGTGTATACAGGCATACAATCACAGCGGGAGAGGTCATCCACTCACCATTCGAGCGCATAAACGGTAGGCCTATATTCATTGTAAAGTTCACACAATTACACTGTATTTATAAATACACTGTAAAAATCACATGATTGTGGGATTTATTTATTTTAATTTTATTTACATTAAACAATTAAACAAGCATCAAGATCATATTTAGAGTCTGGTCTAGTTAATGATTAGCCCATTGGGGTAAACAATGCAGATGAGCAACCCCATGCTTCAGCCATGTAGCCACTATGCTGCATCAGGCTACAGGTGATAATGGTTATTGCTAAAATAGCACCCCTGCCTAATAATACGGACCATGTATAGGCCCTAAAGATATCACTTTTCATCAATATGTTATTGGGCTCATTTCTGGAGGGCAATATTATATTTTAAACAGTTTTTAATATGTTAATTAGGCTAAATGTCATCATTGAGAGGAGGGATGGTTTTATTTTTGTTTTCCAAACAATTAGTGTAAATATCAGATTTTATGGTTGGGTATAATATAAGGTACTTGCCCAGACTGTAAATGAAAATGAAATCACCCTCGATTGAAATTCTGGGTGCATAACTCTTATTTCCTGTGATCTTGGCCTGGCCAGTAATTTTCTCATTCGGGCCAGTAGTTTTGACTTGGTACTGACCTGGTGTGCCACAGCAAATTTACCTGAATGTCAAGCCCTGCTTTTAGTAGATCTCCCCTGAAACCTGAATATTTTAGCCTTACAAGGATAAAGGTAAACATGTCTTAGTCAGCTACCTTGCTTTGAAGTACCTTACATTAGCCATTTGATCCCTGATTAATTGAATGAGGGAATTATTTTTTATGAAGACATTTAAAAGTATTTGGTTGATCATTTTAATGTTGCAATATTTTACATCCTCCAGGAGAGCTACTGGGTGTGCAGGCTTTTGTTAGAGCCCAGCTCTAACACACCACATTGTAAAAAATCAGCTGGTCAACATGACCTTGATAAGCTCACTTGGGTGTTGGAGCAAAGCTGGATCAAAAGCCTGCAAACCCAGTAGCTCTCCAGATGGAGGGTTAACCATGTGTTGCATACAATAGCCTAACAGTGCAGTTATTTTACTTTGTGGGGGGTTGCACCACCGAGAGCATCCTGACTGGTTGCTTCACTGCCTGGTATGGCAACTGCTCGTCCTCTGGCCGCAAGGCACTACAGAGGGTAGTGCGTACGGCCCAGTACATCACTGGGGCCAAGCTTCCTGCCATCCAGGACCTCTATACCAGGCGGCGTCAGAGGAAGGCTCTAAAAATTGTCAGACTCCAGCCACCCTAGTCATAGACTGTTCTCTCTGCTACCGCACGGCAAGCGGTACCGGAGCGCCAAGTCTAGGTCCAAGAGGCTTCTACCCCCAAGCCATAAGACTCCTGAACATCAAATGAAATGGCTACCCAGACTATTTGCATTGCCCCCCTTTTTACATTACGCTGCTGCTACTCCTTTTTTATTATCTATGCATAGTCACTTTAACTCTACCTACATGTACATATTACCTCGACTAACCGGTGCCCCTGCACATTGACTCGGTACCGGTACCCACTGTACAGTCGTGGTCAAAAGTTTTGAAAAGTTTGAGAATGACACAAGTATTGGTCTTCACAAAGTTTGCTGCTTCAGTGTTCTGATATATTTTTGTCAGATGTTATTATGGTATACTGACGTATAATTACAAGCATTCCATAAGTGTCAATTTTTTTTATTGACAATTACATAAATTTTATGCAAAGAGTCAATATTTACAGTGTTGACCCTTCTTTTTCAATACCTCTGCAATCCGCCCTGGCATGCTGTCAATTAACTTCTGGGCCACATCCTGACTGATGGCAGCCCATTCTTGTGTAATCAATACTTGGAGTTTGTCAGAATTTGTGGGTTTCTGTTTGTCCACCCGCCTCTTGAGTATTGACCACAAGTTCTCAATGGAATTAAGGTCTGGGGAGTTTCCTGGCCATGGACCCAAAATGTTGATGTTTTGTTCCCCGAGCCACTTAGTTATCACTTTTTCCTTATGGCAAGGTGCTCCATCATGCTGGAAAAGGCATTGTTCATCACCAAACTGTTCTTGGATGGTTGGGAGAAGTTGCTCTCGGAGGACGTGTTGGTACCATTCTTTATTCATGGCTGTGTTCTTAGGCAAAATTGTGAGTGAGCCCACTCCCTTGGCTGAGAAGAAACCCCACACATGAATGGTCTCAGGATGCTTTACTGTTAGCATGACACAGGACTGATGGTAGCGCTCACATTGTCTTCTCCGGACAAGCTTTTTTCCAGATGCCCCAAACAATCGGAAAGGGGATTCATCAGAGAAAATGACTTTACCCCAGTCCTCAGCAGTCCAATCCCAGTACCTTTTGCAGAATATCAGTCTGTCCCTGATGTTTTTCCTGGAGAGAAGTGGCTTCCTCGCTGCCTTTCTTGACACCAGGCCATCCTCCAAAAGTCTTCGCCTCACTGTGCGTGCAGATGCACTCACACCTGCCTGCTGCCATTCCTGAGCAAGCTCTGCACTGGTGGTGCCCCGATCCCGCAGCTGAATCAACTTTAGGAGACAGTCCTGGCGCTTGCTGGACTTTCTTGGGCGCCCTGAAGCATTCTTCACAACAATTGAACCTCTCTCCTTTAAGTTCTTGATGATCCGATGAATGGTTGATTTAGGTGCAATCTTACTAGCAGCAATATCCTTGCCTGTGAAGCCCTTTTTGTGCAAAGCAATGATGACGGCATGTGTTTCCTTGCAGGTAACCATGGTTAACAGAGGAAGAACAATGATTTCAAGCACCACCCTCCTTTTAAAGCTTCCAGTCTGTTATTCTAACTCAATCAGCATGACAGAGTGATCTCCAGCCTTGTCCTCGTCAACACTCTCACCTGTGTTAACAAGAGAATCACTAACAAGATGTCAGCTGGTCCTTTTGTGGCAGGGCTGAAATGCAGTGGAAATGTTTTTTGGGGATTAAGTTCATTTTCATGGCAAAGAGGGACTTTGCAATTAATTACATTTCATCTGATCACTCTTCATAACATTCTGGAGTATATGCAAATTGCCATCCAAAAATCTCAGGCAGCAGACCTGGTGAACATTAATATTTGTGTCATTCTCAAAACTTTTAGCCTCGCAATTGTTATTTTACTGCTGCTGTTTAATTATTTGTTACTTTTTTTTTTCTTTTTTTTTCTAGGTATTCTTTCTTAAAACTGCATTGTTTGTTAAGGGCTTTTAAGTAAGCATTTCACCTGTTGTATTCGGCGCATGTGACAAATACAATTTTGATTTGATTTGGTTCATGTTTTTCTGCCATGCGTAATATGTGTTAGGCTATGTATTGTGTAAGGCACAATTATAATTTTAATTCAGGGTTTTTTCTGTCTTTGGCTCATAAGCCTATGCATTAGCTCTAATATGCCTATGGGTGTTTAGAATTAATCATCATCTTTAGAAAGTACTGTCCATTGCTGTTGTACTTCTTTCATCAAATTGATCATCACATTGAGGTGAGTTTTGAAAGCAGCATACTGTTTGAAGTGTTTGTGATTTTCGATTGCGTTTGCAATGATGTCAGAGTGGTTAGAGGGACAAAAGAGCCCTGTATACCAGGCCATTAGGACCTGATGGTCTTTTGCAAATTCAGTACTACCAAAGCATTTCCAGAGTGCATAAGGGGAGAGTACCGTGACTCAACGGTCATGTGGAATTGTACTGCGGTCATGACTGCTGGACAAGTGGCTAAAATAGTTAATGTCAAGCCCTGAAAGTTGTGAAATATGACACAGCCTTGACCTTTGCCCTCTTCACGCTCAGGTTGACGAGGGCTTCTATCTGCAGAACAGCAACGTGGGCCGCGGGGACGAGAACCAGAACCGGTGCGAGCACAGCGTCTCTCAGGAAAACGGCAACACGACCACAATAACCATGAAGCAACAGGTGCTGTGCTCTTCCACCTTCCCCCAGCAGGAGGTGCTGTCCAGCTCTCTGGAGGCAGAGCATAGGTAAACACTGGCCTGTTCTGACAACAGTAACACTTCTAGCTTGCTAGTTCCTATCTTCTGTCAGGAGTTTGCTGATCTGAAGCAACTGGATAGATTTTTTTTTTAAACCATATGGCAGAAGCTTCCATTTAGCCCATTGGATGGCTAGATGGAGCCATGTTTCACACACTGCACACATCACACATATCCGACCCCTTTAGATCTGCATATAGTGAAGTGGTTGGGGCTAGTAGTGTTGTTGTGGAGGAGCAACATAGCAAGTAGGTGTGGTGAAGCGTGCTCCCCTTTTGTCTGGCTCATGATTGCAGAGGCACAATTTATAAAAATTAGAAATCCTCAAGGTTCACTTTTAATGGTGGCTTTCGCTCTCTCCCAGGTTATTGAAAGAGATGGGTTGGCAGGAGGAGAGTGACAATGATGAGACGTGTGCCCCTCTGACAGAGGACGAAATGAGGGAGTTCCAGGCTATCAGTGAACAGGTAGTTACTCTTCCACCCATTCATACTACAGTATTGGCCACTCCCTTCATAGTACTCATCTGTTACTGAGCTCGTTTGTCATAAAGCACTCATTACCTTGTCACGTGATGTGCCCTCATTAAACAAATCATGATAGTTTACAATAACCATTCTTACATTTCTGAAAAAACGCCTTTAAAAAAGTTTCAATGATCATATTGACGGTCACCTGTCATGGCATTTGTTAACACTCCAGCTGTCTGAATGCTTTCTGACAGCCATTTCCAAGTTCATTGCTGCTTACATTTCTAATTTCAAGCCCCTTGTGCTGAAACCAGTCCCCCACCCACCCTAACCTCACCCCACCCCACCCGATTGTCGTCTTTCCTCTCCAGCTGCAGAAGAACGGTCTAAGGAGAAATGGCCTCTTGAAGAACAGCCCTCCCATAGACTCCCTGGCCGTGTGGAAGACCAGCAACCTCAAAATGGCCACCGACACCACGGAGGAGACAGAGACCAGCAGCAGCGACACCTCTGACGACGATGCCTAAAGCAACCCTCATCAATAACCCTAATCACTACCACCACCCTTAACCCTCTTCCCCCTCTCACCAGAGGGAAGAGACAGTACCCCCCTGCAGCAGAATGGGGAATTCAGACGCCCTCCCCCTTCAAGATATGGACAGATGTTCTGAATGGGCTGGAGAAAGAACACTACTTTATGGCTTTGTTGCAAGGCCCCTTTTGTTGGGGCCGGGGGGGTGTAGATTTCAATGTTGGACTGAATGTTTGTTCCATCACTGAAAAGATTGATGAATGTGAAAAAAAAGGTCAGTTCTGGAGGCTATTGAAGAAAAATATTGCAATTCAGTGTATTTGTCTGGTGGAAGTTGTTTAGGTACATGTCATATACCCATCCTGAGTGTCAAAGTACTTGTCTGTAGGTAACCATGAAATTGGAAGTAAAAAAGCGGAACCAGAGAGAACTCGGTTTGTTGTTTTGAATGTTTCTGAAAGTTTTTCCTTGGGAAAAAAATGTTTACTAGCCTACCTGTTTAATTTGGATCCCGTGTCGCGGTTAGCCTCAGTTGCTGAGACCGCTACTATCTGTCCCCAGATACTGCCAAACCCTAAAGTCTGAAGAGCTGCTGCTTGGTGAAGGTTTCCTTGACAGTTTGAACACAGCCCGCGACGTGGTTAGCCCTTGTGGCTGGGACCACGGATAGTCCCGGGGCTTGTGGCTGTTTAAATTCTTGCTGTTTATTGCTGTTTCCATCGGCCCTGTGAGCTGAATTGGCTGGAATTGTGTTGAGTACCAGCGTTAGCCTACGTTGCTACCATCATGCCGCCCAAAGCTAAAGAAGTTGGAAGTAATGGAGAGGACAGTGTTTTGCTATCACAGGTGCGTAATCTTTTAAATCAACAAAAATATGTCTACAACCAATTGTTACAGCAACATCAAAATTGCTTAAAGTGCATGGTCCAAATACTGGTGGACTCCACTAACAAAAGAATGGACGATCTGACCAGAAAGGTCCAAGATCTTATGAACAGTTCGAAGTTCTCCCAGGGAGAGGTGGATGTCCTGAAAGAGACTTGCAGCAAGATGACAACAAACTGTAATCCATGCATCAAATGACTGGGAAAACAGACTATCTAGAGGGACAATCCACATTGTTGTGGATGGCATACTAGAGTCTCCACATGAGACCGGGACAGTCTGAAGAGAAAGGGAGAAAAATGATAACCGAAAAGCTGCAAATCGATCATAGGAAGATTGAGGTAGGGCGCCCACAGGTCTGGAAAACCTGTAACCAGCCCAGATGACAGACCCAGGCCGATAGTGGTCAAGTTCCTAAAGTTTAAGGACAAGATGGCTGTTCTGGAGAGAGCCAAGGACTTTAGTGGAACCAACATCTTCCTTAATGAGGACTTCTCCGAAGCTGTGCGCCAGAGGCAGAATTAACTTATCCCAGCTATGAAAGCTGCCAGAGAGTGTGGGGACATTGCTTACATCCGCTACGACAAGATCGTTGTCCTCCCTCCCTCCCAAAAGCCTGGGAAGAGTGAGAGAGCCAAGCGTCCGGGTCAGTAGCTTCAGCCCAACATCACACACAAACACATACCAATTGAGACTCACAAGTGCCTGATTGACTGTATAAGCCAGACAATGTGGTTTTTATTGTTTTTATTATATTATGTCTTGTCTATTAATAGCCCATATTAAGATATGTAGCCTTAGAAATAAAGTTCATGAAATCAATAACTTGCTAACATTGGATAACACTCATATACTGGCCATCTCTGAAACTTGCTTAGATAATCCCTTAGATGATACAGCAGTAGCAATACAAGGATACCTACAGAAAAGACACAGGAATGGCTATAGGGGAGGTGTTGCTGTATATGTTCGGAGCCGTATTCCTGTAAAGGTTAGAGAGGATCTCATGTCAAATGCTGTTGAAGTAATATGGCTGCAGGTTCACCTGCCTCACCCTAAAGTCTATTCTTGTGGGAAGTTGCTATAGACCAAGTGCTAAAAGTATCTGTATAATGTGTGTGAAATGCTTGGTAATGCAGGGCTTGACATTTAACCTTTTTTAGCCACTTGTCCTTTGGACAAGTAGGACTTATTTTTTACTTGTCCTAAAGCTCAAGTCACTTTTCTAAAAATATAAAATGGTCTGTAACGCCATGGGACAAAAAGGTGACTGAAAATTGTGTTGAATGATGCAAGGAACCACTGCTGGTCTCTGATCCCATGTACAATTTCCTGCCATAGTGCCCTTGAGCAAGGCACTTAACCCCCCACAAAGTAAAATAACTGCACTGTTAGGCCATGGGTGTGCAGGTTTATGATCCAACCCTGCTCAAACACCAAAGTCAGCTTATCAAGGTCCTGTTGAGCAGCTGATTTTTTACAATGTGGTGTGTTCGAGCAGGGCTGGAGTAAAAGCCTGCACACCCAGTAGCTCCTGGAATATCCTGGAGGATGGTTGGCCACCCTGCAACATTACAATTACAACCAAATACTTATGTCTTTATAAAATAATTCCTTCATTCAATTAACCAGGAATCAAATGGCTAAGGTGGGCGAAGTAGCTAACTGAGATGTTTATTTATTTCTAAGGTTAAAATATGCAGTGTTCTGGGGAGATCTTGACAGCATAGGAGTTTTGTATTTGTATTTATTAAGGATCCCCATTAGCAGCTACTCTTCCTGGCAACATTAAGGCAGTTATATGTATATATTTACATTGTATAACACTTTTCACAACACAGTAAGTGTGTGCCCTCAGGCCACTACTGTACTATCACATATCTACAATACAAAATCCATGTGTACGTGTATGTAGAGTGCATGTGTACAGTGCATTCGGAAAGTATTCAGACCCTTTCACTTTTTCCACATTTTGTTACATTACAGCCTTATTCTAAAATGGATTAAATAAAATGTTTTCCTCATCAATCTACACACAATACAACATAATGACAAAGCGAAAACAGTTTTTTACAACTTGATTGGAGTCCACCTGTGGTAAATTCAATTGATTGGACATGATTTTGAAAGGCACACACCTGTCTATATAAGGTCCCACAGTTGACAGTGCATGTCAGAGCAAAAACCAAGCCATGAGGTCAAAGGAATTGTCCATAGAGCTCTGAGACAGGATTGTGTCGAGGCACAGATCTGGGGAAGGGTACCAAAAAATCTCTGCAGCATTGAAGGTCCCCAAGAACACCGTGGCCTCCATCATTCTTAAATGGATGAAGTTTGTAACCACCAAGACTCTTCTTAGAGCTGGCCGCCCGGCCAAACTGAGCAATCGGGGGAGAAGGGCCTTGGTCAGGGAGGTGACCAAGAACCCGATGGTCACTCTGACAGAGCTCCAGAGTTCCTCTGTGGAGATGGGAGAACCTTCCAGAAGGACAACCATCTCTGCAGCACTCCACCAATCAGGTCATTATGGTAGAGTGGCCAGACCGAAGCCAGTCCTCAGTAAAAGATCCTTGATGAAAACCTGCTCCAGAGGGCTCAGGACCTCAGACTGGGGTGAAGGTTCACCTTCCAACAGGACAATGACCCTAAGCACACAGCCAGGACAACGCAGGAGTGGCTTCGGGACAAGTCTCTGAATGTCCTTGAGTGGCCCAGCCAGAGCCCGGACTTGAACCCGATCTAACATCTCTGGAGAGACCTGAAAATAGCTGTGCAGCGACGCTCCACATCCAACCTGACAGAGCATGAGAGGATCTGCAGAGAAGAATGGGAGAAACTCGCCAAATACAGGTGTGCCAAGCTTGTAGCATCATACCCAATAATATTTGAGGCTGTAGTCACTGCCAAAGGTGCATCAACAAAGTACTGAGTAAAGGGTCTGAATACTTATGTAAATGTGATATTTCCATTATTATTTTATTTCTTTAAATTTTCAAAAAACATCTATAGACCCATTTTTGCTTCGTCATTATGAGGTATTGTGTGTAGATTGATGAGGGGAAAAAAGCAATTTAATCGATTTTAGAATATGGCTGTAACGTAACAAAATGTGGAAAAGGTCCAGGGGTCTGAATACTTTCCGAATGCGCTGTATGTGTGTCTGTGCCTGTGTGTGTCTCTTCAAAGTCCCCGCTATTCCATAAGGTGTATTTTTATCTGTTTTGTTTATCTGATTCTACTGCTCACATCAGTTGCCTGATGTGGAATAGAGTTCCATGTAGCCATGGCTCTGTGTAGTACTGTGCACCTCCCATAGTCTGTTCTTGACTTGGGGATTGTGAAGAGACCTTTGGTGGCATGTCTTGTGGGGTATGCATGGGTGTCCGAGCTGTGTGCTAGTAGATTAAACAGACACCTTGGTGCATTCAGCATGTCAACACTTCTTACAAAAACAAGTAGTGATGAAGTCAATCTCTCCTCCACTTTGAGCCATGAGAAGTTCACATGCATTTTATTAATGTTAGCTCTCCGTGTACATTTAAGGGCCAGCCGTGCTGCCCTGTTCTGAGCCAATTGTAATTTTCCGAGGTCCCTCTTTGTGGCATCTGACCAAAAGACTGAACAGTAGTCCAGGTGCGACAAAACTACAGTTGAAGTCGGAAGTTTACATACACTTAGGTTGGAGTCATTAAAACTCGTTTTTCAACCACTCCACACATTTCTTGTTAACAAACTATAGTTTTGGCATGTCAGTTAGGACATCTACTTTGTGCATGACACAAGTCATTTTTCAAAAAATTGTTTACAGACAGATAATTTCACTTATAATTCTCTGTATCACAATTTCAGTAGGTCAGAAGTTTACATACACTAAGTTGACTGTGCTTGGAAAATTCCAGAAAATGATGTCATGGCTTTAGAAGCTTCTGATAGGCTAATTGACATAATTTGAGTCAATTGGAGGTGTACCTGTGGATGTATTTCAAGACCTACCTTCAAACTCAGTGCCTCTTTGCTTGACATCATGGGTAAATCAAAATAAATCAGCCAAGACCTCTGAAAAAAAATTCTGGTTCATCCTTGGGAGTAATTTCCAAATGCCTGAAGGTA